CCCTGAACACCTAAAACCCACCTGAGATGCACCTGGGACCCCCCTGGGACCCCCGAGAACACCTGGGACCCACCTGAGGCTCACCTGGAACTCACCTGGGACCCTCCCTGAACACCTGGAACCCACCTGGAACTCACCTGGGACACCTGGAACCCACCTGAAACCCACCTGAGACCCTCCCTGAACACCTGGGACCACCCTTGGACCTTCCCTGAACACCTAAAACCCACCTGAGATGCACCTGGGACCCCCCTGGGACCCCCGAGAACACCTGGAACCCACCTGGGAACCCCCTTGGACACCTGGAACTCACCTGGGACCCACCCTTGACACCTGAAACCCACCTGAGACCCACCTGGGATACCTGGGACCCACCTGGGACCCACCTGAGACACCTGAAACCCACGTGGAACCCTCCCTGAACACCTGGAACCCACCTGAGACCCTCCTGGAACTCACCCCCCCGAGAACACCTGGGACCCACCTGAGGCTCACCTGGGATACCTGGGACCTACCTGAGACGCTCCCTGAACACCTGGAACCCACCTGAGACCCACCTGGGACCCCCGAGAACACCTGGAACCCACCTGGGAACCCCCTTGGACACCTGGAACTCACCTGGGACCCACCCTTGACACCTGAAACCCACCTGAGACCCACCTGGGATACCTGGGACCCACCTGGGACCCACCTGAGACACCTGAAACCCACGTGGAACCCTCCCTGAACACCTGGAACCCACCTGAGACACACCTGGGACCCCCCTGGGACCCCCGAGAACACCTGGGACCCACCTGAGGCTCACCTGGGATACCTGAAACCCACCTGAGACCCTCCCTGAACACCTGGAACCCACCTGAGACCCTCCTGGAACTCACCTGGGACCCTCCCTGCACACCTGGAACCCACCTGAGACCCACCTGGGATACCTGAAACCCACCTGGGACCTTCCCTGAACACCTGGGGCTCACCTGGGACCCTCCCTGAACACCTGGAACCCACCTGAGACACACCTGGGATACCTGAGACCCACCTGAGACCCTCCCTGACCCCCCCCCCAAATAAAGGCACAGGTGACTCGGGCAGGTGTGTCCAGGTGCGTTTATTGCTGGGGGGGAGGGGCTTCATTTTCATACCTGGGACACGCCCACTGCACACCTGGGAGCCAATCACACAGCCGGGATTCATTCACACACCTGGCCACGCCCACTGCACACCAGGGAGCCAATCAGACACCTGGGGGAGATTCACACACCTGGGCCACGCCCACCTGGGATTCATTCACACACCTGGGCCACGCCCACTGCACACCTGAGGTTCATTTTCATACCTGGCCACGCCCATCACACACCTGGGATTCATTCACACACCCCTGGCCACGCCCACCTGGGAGCCAATCAGACACCTTGGCCACGCCCACTGCGCACCTGGGCCACACCCACTGCACACCTGAGGTTCATCTTCACACCTGGCCACGCCCACTGCACACCTGGGGGCCAATCACACAGCTGGGATTCATTCACACACCTGGGCCACGCCCACTGCACACCTGGAAGAGGTTCACACTTGGCCACGCCCACCAAGCACCTGGGAACCATTCGCACACCTGGCCACGCCCACCACACACCTGAGGGAAATTCATACACCTGGGCCACGCCCACCAGGGAATCATTTACATACCTGGCCACACCCACCGCACACCTGGGAGCCAATCACACACCTGGGAACCATTCACACACCTGGCCACGCCCACTGCACACCTGGGATTCATTTGCATACCCGGGCCACGCCCACTGCACACCTGAGGGAAATTCATACACCTGGGCCACGCCCACCAGGGAATCATTTACATACCTGGCCACACCCACCGCACACCTGGGAGCCAATCACACACCTGGGAACCATTCACACACCTGGCCACGCCCACTGCACACCTGGGAGCCAATCACACACCTGAGGTTCATTTACATACCTTGGCCATGCCCACCGCACACCTGAGGGAGATTCACACACCTGGGATTCATTTACATATGTGGGCCACACCCACCACACACCCGAGATTCATTTTCATACCTGGCCACGCCCACTGCACACCTGGGAGCCAATCACACACCTGGGAACCATTCACACACCTGGGCCACGCCCACTGCACACCTGGGATTCATTTTCATACCCAGGCCACGCCCACTGCACACCTGGGAGCCAATCACACACCCGGGCCACGCCCACCGCCCACCTGGGATTCATTTACATACCTGGGCCACGCCCACCACATGCCTGAGATTCATTTACATACCTGGGCCACGCCCACCGTGGCATCATTCACACACTTGGCCACACCCACTGCACACCTGAGGTTCATTTTCACACCTGGCCACGCCCACTGCACACCTGAGACCGCCAATAACAGCACAGGTGACCCCGCCAGGTGTGCCCAGGTGAGGTCAGGAGGGGCACGGGCACACCTGGGCACACCTGGGCACACCAAAAACCGCTCCAGGTGTGTCCACGTCCATCCAGGTGTGCCCAGGTGTGCCCAGGTGTGCCAATGTCCATCCAGGTGAGCCCAGGTGTGTCCAGGTGTGCCCAGGTGTGCCAATGTCCCTCCAGGTGTGCTCAGGTGTGCCCAGGTGTCTCTCAGGTGTCTCTCAGGTGTATCCAGGTGTATCTCAGGAGGGTCCATGTCCATCCAGGTGTATCCAGGTGTCTCTCAGGTGTCTCAGGTGAGGTCAGGGGGGCGGCAGGAGGGGCACCAGGAGCCGCAGCGCCCCCAGCCCCAGCGCGGCCGCCCCCAGCGCCCGCAGCCCCAGCGCCCCCCAGGGGCCCAGCCCCAGCGCCTGCCCCGCCCACCTGGGGGAGGAGACACAGAAAGGGGGCGGGGCTTCAGCCAGGAGCTCCTTTGCATGTCTCCTCCCTCAAAGCCACGCCCACTTTGGGTCATGTGCCCTGCTGGCCACGCCCACTTGGGTTCCGGCCATTAAAAGCCACGCCCACACCCCAAGCAATGTAAATGTAGGCCACGCCCCCTTTCCAAGGACACACCCATTTTCCCAAGCCACGCCCATTTTAAACCACGCCCATTTCTCCCCAGGCCACGCCCAGAATCCCATCCACCATCAAGCCACGCCCACAGTCACACCCATTTAAAGCCACGCCCATTTTGCCCAGACCACACCCACGTTTCCACCTGACCACGCCCACTTTCCCAAGCCTCGCCCACATTTCCCCTCCAGACCACGCCCACTTAAAGCCACGCCCATTTTGCCCAGACCACACCCACGTTTCCACCTGACCACGCCCACTTTCCCAAGCCTCGCCCACATTTCCCCTCCAGACCACGCCCACTTAAAGCCACGCCCATTCACCAGACCACGCCCATTTCTCCCCAGGCCACACCCACATTTCCCTTCTTCCCAAGCCCCGCCCACAACCAGAAGCCCCGCCCATTCCCAAGCCCCGCCCCTTTCTCCCATGTCCCGATTTCTCAGGCCCCGCCCCCTTTCTCAAGCCCCGCCCATTTCCCCTTTGCTCCTCCCCCAATCCCTGACCCCACCCCGTGCCCCTCCCCATTATTAATTAGTTCATTAATTAATTAGTAATTAATTACCCCGATCAGGAAGCCCTCAAAGACCCCTCCCCATCATGATTATTAATTAATTTGTTAATTATCCAGTTAGGAATCCCTCATTAATCATTATTAATTAATTAATTAGTGCATCAGGAATCCCTCGTTGCCCCCTCCCCCACCCCCAAAG